TTATGTTAAGCTATCCCGTGAAGTTTTTTTGCACAAAATGCAGTAACAGAGAAGTGGTTGTTTTAGTGCATAAATAACACTCAAATATCCTTGTGCACAAGCAAAATGTCCAATGTCTTTACGCGAATTTAAGACAAAAAAGGCCTTATTGAATGTAAGTCGTGCAGAAATATAGTTTTTTGTGTACTTTACGCTCCCCTTTTGCGTTATTTAGAAACGGAACAGACAGAAGAATAATAAGTTTTTCAAAAAATAGCAATGTATATGGCCAGTTTTTTTAATTCGAAAGATAATATAATAAAATGGAATTAATCCAATTATGCGAAAAGTAATCCATTATAAAGAGAAGAGAAAGTTCTTTCATCTCCAGTCAAATTGAATCGTTTATCTTCAGGAACCTTGAAGAAATTCTCAAAATTCTAAAATTTCATTATGACATTACGTTGGAAAAAGTTAATATACGCAGAAGTGCTTCAGCCGAATATCTAATCAAAGCTCTTTCTAAGAGGTAACCTTTTCTGGAAGGTTTTTCCATTAATCTTAGGAATAGTAGTTTCACAACTCCACTGCGGACATGATTCACTCTCGATAACGCTGTTTGCTGCTCTGAGGCATCTCTTCATATCAAGAACGTTGCCACATCCGTTAAAACTAATATCGGAAAACTTTCTTTCGGTAAATGCTCTTTATGTATATCTTATTTTAAAGGTTTTGGTGTATAGTTTAGTTTCACTATCTCAGGCTGTAAAACAACGTCGACAAATGCACTTTCAAGCATTTTTAAAAGTGATGGTTAAAAAAGGTCTAATAATTTCCTCCTAGTCAACAGAAGCGCCGTTAATTAAATAAAAGTGAATGGTGGCAATATTATGCTTATTACAAATAAGCAAAATAGCTCGTGTTAGAATTTCAATGCCCCCAAACTTGACTGGCTGACGACGGCTAATAAACCAGAAATGGCCACTCCGGTCACCCTTATCTCAGTCGTTATCATCTTATCTGCATAAACTACTATATGATATGTGACTGCCTACGAGGGCTTTACATTAAGCCTTAAATACAATGCGTTCGGTTGCTTCAGATACATCCCTGATGTATGGCGGCGCATGCCGCGAGACTAGGCGTCGGAATTACACACTGTCTCAAGGCTACAATGCGCAGCCGTGTCATGAAAATCAAGGATCAACTGACTACCAGTGAGCAGTTAGACTTAGTGTATCGCATACCATGTCTAAACTGTCTCATAAATTACACGGGACGGACTGGACGCAAGCTGGATTCGCATATACGCGAACATAAGCTGGCTGTTCGACGGAGTGACACATCATCGCAAGTGGCGGCCTACACCTATGAGACGGGTCGCGAATTCGACTTCGCAGCCGCGAAGATAATTGCCCACGTTGGCAGCAAGATGGGCCGAGAGCTGACTGAAGCCCGGACATCAAATGACAACTCATATTATCAAGCTCGCGCCCGCATATGTTGCCCTGCGCAGGTATCTCGAGACTCACTCCATACGGATCCCTTTTCCTATTATCTGAGATGCGACTGCTTACGAAAAGGAATTCGTTAAAAATACAACAGCAGAGACTTTATCGAGAGCACGGTCACTGACTAAGAGACTGTAAGATGATTTACGACGTAACTGCAAACATGCGACTTTTATATATCAAGAGAATCTTTCTTCCATAAAATTGCTGTGAGCCCTCTGCAGTCTCCCCATATATGATTTTTCCCTGGTCTTAGAGGTCTGCTTTTCGGCAAATGGCGGCTTTGGTATGTTTGGAGACTCGCCGAAATATAAAATTTCATCCTTCGGGGCAATAGATGTCCTCGATAAAAGTACGTCATTAATTATACCTTGATTAAATAAAAGTTGGCTCCATTAAGTCATCCCTTAGAAGGCGCTTTATCCGGATATTTTGCGAATGACTTACCTTTCGTTATCCCTTCTAAAATAAAGCCGGAGATAATAAAGGATTATGCCTGTTCAAACAGGCCAGGCAGATACTGACAGTTATTAGGTGACGAACGAACCGCCCCCCCCTTCTGCATAGTTAAGCTTCGTTTCGCTTTGTTCGTGTAGTTTTATTCCACACTCTGCGACCATAAATGCACTACAATTTTAATATAAATACTAAAACATTTCTCATTCGAAGTCGTTTATTGGCAAAATCTAAGCAGTACTATAACAGCCTACCGTATAGTCAAAATGTGAAGAAACCACTGGCTGGTGAACTTCTTCGCAGTTACTTATCGAAAATTTCTACACGTCTGGAAGTTGCGGGAGTGTCAAAAAAATTGTCTGTTGACGTTATTATTGGTTCCCAGAGTATAACATTGCATGGGCTCACAAATTTGGATTCTCAAATAAGTGACAACTTCTCCCCATTTAGAATTAACGCAATTATGTACGTCTTGCTTCACCTGATTTATGTAGACCACGAAATCAAGTCACGAGTCAGTGATGGTTGTTGTAATAAACCCTTATCCGACAAATCAATAACCCTCTACCAGACAAGTCTGCACAAATACGCGAACGTGCTCTAAGAAACACGCTAGCAGGGTAAATTACCGGAACCAAGAGTAACTTAGGTGCATGCTTAATATTGTTAGCTTTTTTGAACTTACAGTGTGCAGGTTGGCATTTGGGATGACGAAAATAAAGCTACAAATTGCAATTCCGCTGCTTCGAATCTCTGCCAATGACAATCCTCAACGATGTGTATAACATGTAAAACTTGGGATAAACATTTACAAGTGTCACCATCATCACAGGTAAGTAAAATTTGCGATCGAAACTTCTCCTATTTTCGTCGATGGTTTAATTGTTCTTTTCCACCAAAAATATCAACAACAGAATTGAATATGCGAGTTCCAGGAAACAGTTCAGAAGACGAAGAAGCGATCACTGGAACAAGGATTTTATTGTCCTGACGTTTCGGATTCCGTCGGGAATTCGAAACGTCAGGACAATAAAACCCTTGTTCCAGTGATCGCTTCTTCGTCTTCTGAATATCAACAACGTTGAGACTTCATCTTGTTTTAGAGTGTTGAAGGATACACTCTCCGAAAAAAAGCTGTTCATAAAAGCCGCTGGGCATGTACTCCAGTAGAGGACGACGAGCCACATTGGTCCTGTAGAATCTAGCTGGTCCATGTTTGAGTTTTTCGGCTCTTCTATAACTTTCTTCTTGGCGCGGCTCAGACAGAAACCTAGTCCGGTTGAACGGGATGCTATAATATAAACGCAGTTTTACAGTGCGAATGACATACAGGTTTTTAATACACTCTCGTGGCCAATCATGTTTTGCTGCCCTGTCATGTTAGCGTTTAAAACAACATTTGAACACGCATAAGCTCGTATTATTGCCGAGTACCAAGCCAAAGTATAACGCTCACCGATCGTGTTACATGACTTATACTTTCCGTTATGTCTTGCGGTCGATCCAGAGCCTCGTAGGCAGTCACACAGTGAGACCCCTTCCCAATACCGAACCCATAGACATTCTGCCCAATGAGGTATCCTCTTTCCGGTATCCTGGTGTTACTCTGCATCAAACGTTTCATTTATTCTTCATATTCAAGGTCTCTTTATTAAAATTCGTTTGCGTTCATATCACACACAGCAAGCTTTAATCTAGCGAGTTATAGATGCCTGCATTCTACCCCTCATCCTTTACTGCTCTCCGCTTATTTTTCCAGCCTTGCTTAAAAGAGACCTGTTTATTTTTAAACGTATTCTCCGAATGCTCTCTTCAGCTGCCGGTGTCTCCTGTTATCTTTTACCTGATATTATAATACAGCGACACTTTAAGACAGTCAAGCAATTTGCTGATCGCATTCTTGGTGAGGTCGCTCATCGTCTCCACTCTGAACTAATGGCTGCGAAGTCTTCCCGTACAATGCGTCGAAGTTTCTGACATATGGCTTGCCGTACATCAGCATATTAGCACTCTATACTTCCCTTGCTAGTACGTTACCTCACTTGTGAAGAAACGGAAATTTAGAAGTTGAATTCAGACCTGGCTGCATATCGCATGTGGATTTCATGTAAAACCTTTAGATTTTGAGTATTATATTACCACTTTCTTTGGTCTCAGTGAATGGGGCCATCCTTGCTGAAATTTTTGAACACCTATCTTCAAAAAAGCGTTTTTTTCTCTCTATCTCTCTCTACCTAGTAATATATTCCGGAAGCAATTACCGACAAAGACTGGTTCACCAGCAACTCATACTCAAATTCAGGTCATCACGATCTTAAATTTGAGCCAGGATTCTTTGGTCAAACAAACTGCTACTGAGGCACAGGCTTCTTGTTCCGTCGATTGTGATCTGAAATATTAACAGTCTTGTCAGGGTCATGCATCGACTAGGCCATGGTCACAAATGGGTATCTCAGGCTTTGTCAGCACCCTTTTCTGCATCACAAGTGGTCGCTACGCGACTGCCTACCAAAGCACAATGGGATGAGCATGTATGGTAACCTGATGGATGGATGGCCCACCCACGATATATGTATGGCAAAGATGTTATACCATACTCCCGAAATAGGTGCTAGCTAAAAGCCCAGTCACGTGTTTCGCCGATGTTTCTGCTGCATAGTGATATAGCAGCGAGGGGTTCGGCTCCTCAGTGGGGCTCCCAACGTCCTCTATAGGGTTTCTGGTAATATGACTTCCATGTCATGCACCTAATAATTTCCACGATTATTTCCTTGATTATTATCCGGAGGTCATATACTAGAAACCGCATAAAGAAAGTTGGGGGAGCCTCTGAGGAGACGAACCCCCCTCGTTGCTGTATCATGCAGCAC